TATATATATATATATATATATACAATGACGCGCACAACACGGTCTCCACCAAACCTCCGTTTCGCACTCCCCGCAGCATGTAAAAGTGCCCAAGAAAGGAAAAGAACGAAACAAAAAACCGGGGAGCGCAGTGAATTGGGAGCCAGGCATGAGTACCATATTTGCACCGCGCGTACACACAATCACCTACTTTTTCTTTTTCATTTCCTTCTTGTCAAAATTTTCCTTCCCCCTGTCTAACTTGTTCTTCTTCGGTTGCCCGTCTGTCCGTCTACGCCACTATGTGCGCGTGTCTCTCTCTCTCTGTGTCTGCCTGTCTGTCTGTGTGTGTGTGTGTGTGCGTGCACACCTTTATGTTTGCGCGTGTGTCCAACGCCCCGCCTCGCCTCGCACAGCGCAGCCTCTCTAAACGATCAAACGCAAAAGAAATAGTACAGGCGTCTCTACACCCTTTCAATTTGTCTACAGATTATTCGCACTCTCTCTCTCTCTCTCCCCTTCCTCCGCCTGTGGGGAGAGGACACGCACCCACTGGTTGCGTTAACCCTCTCCCCCACGCCCCCTGCCAACCCAAAAATAAAAAAAGAGTTCGGCGAATGTGGCTACTCCATATTTGCGTGAGAGTACGGAGGGAACAGAGGTGCAGCAGCGGTGGCGAATGCCTCTCCACCGTTACTAATTATCCTCCTTTACCCTTTGTTTTTTTGTCCTGCATTTCTTCTCACCTTGTATAGGTGCACTCTTCACCGTTTGCTGTTCACACTCTTTCACATTTTTCTTTTCTTCGCCGACCACTTTAACTCTCTGGTGTTGTTGTTGTTGTTGTTGTTTTCTGCGTGACTATGCAAGCGCGCCGAATGGGCGCAGGACGGGGCACGCAAGCCCCTCACTTGTGTGTCTCAGCGCCGCGGCGTGCCAATGCTCGACGTGAAGAACGCGCTCGACGTCGCAGAGGAGGAGAGCTCCGTGCCCACGTATGCGTCCTCGTCCTCATTCTCATCCTCCTCGCTGTCGAAATCATCGTATTCCTCCTCCTCTTCGTCCAACTCGCTGCTGCTGCTGCTGCTGCTGCTGCTGCTGCCGGCGCCGCCGCCACTCATGCGCATGGCGGGGGCAGCGTCCGTCTTGGGGTCGTAAGGGTCGTGGTGAACCGCCCGTTTCGGTGGCCGCTCTGTTGCAGTGCTCTGCATCGACGGCGTGTGGCTCGCAGCGTATGGCCGCGCGTCTTCGTCGGGCGGTGCCGACACTCCATACGGCGTCGCCCTGTGTGGCGAGTCACCCACACCGAAGAGCTCCTCCTCCTCGTCACTGTCGAAGTCGTCGTAGTCGCCACTATCAGCCTCTTCTACGTCGGGGAACGCCGCGGAGGTGTCGTCCTCATCATCGTCCTCAATCTCGTCCCAGTCGGCGGTGTTGTCGAAGTCGCGGAACAGCAACGGTCCGCTCTGCCCCCCCGTTTGCGGTTCCGTTGGCGACCATTTCAGGTTGTTCAGCCGCTCCTCACGCTTGTTGTTGGTGTCCTTGCGCAGCAGATATATAAGTGTACATATAATTGACAGCAGCATGTAGAGAAGCGCCACATACACTGGGATGAGGGCAAGCGGCATTGGTGCCTCTTCTTTCCCCCGTGTCATGCGCACCGCGACGAAGTACAGGGAGGTGAGTAACATGCCGTTAAAGAAGAACGCACCCAGAGTGTCGAATGCAAGACCCATCTTTGTTTTGATACCAATCGTGCGCTTTGCCTCACTGCGCATAAACGCCTCCAACACACGCAATCCAGTACGGAAACAGCATGGGATAAAAACGACATACCAACTGATGTCTTTCTTCCTATCAATCTTCTGGCCAATAAGAACCCACTGCGCGACCGACAGGACGATATATGCAAAGCCCAGTACAAAGAAACCGTAGCATAGCGGACGACTGGGGCGGTTCAGGTCAACCTCCATTTCTAGCCGAACACGACGAGGCCACCGCCACACCAATGATGACAGGTAATACACCACGTCGGCCACTATGGGCAGAGAGAAATAGTTCAATAAATTGCGCGAGCCGTTGGAGGTGTCTTTGTCAGCCTCTGATGCGATGATGAAACAAAAGACACTGTAGAACGTCACTGCGATCAAGTTCCCAACGGCTGGAACACGGTCAATCCAGCGCATGCCCTCCTCCCACGGCGTCTTCCACAGAAAGCTCACCACTGCCGCAGCAGCCGTTATGGTCAGCGCGAGAATCACGAGAACAAACAGCGGCGAAGCAACGCGCACCCATGACCACATAACATGTTCATCGACACGAGCTCCCAAGAAGGCAAAGAAAATGATTAACAGGAGGAAAGCTAATATCATTGAACCACAGTAAAGTCCAATCGCACCCCTGGCGCCGAGCATGTGAATCAACGGTCCCCAGTTCCCACTGTGAATGAAACCAACAGCATCTTCTCCAAGGACATCGTACAGACTTTTACGTTCGCTATCGTAAAGGACGATGTAGGCCTGATAAAAGTGATGGCGCAGTGTCACTTTTCGGAACGTCCACTGAACCTGCTTTGCTGTAACAGGGGGCTCCAGCTCTAGCAAGTGGTAGAGGCGCCAGTTGTCTGGATTCCTTCGCTCGTTGTCACAACCCATTTTCAGTACGTGCTGTCACACACACTATGTGCGCACACTCACGATCGTCCAGGAGAGAAATACAAATCCTTTAATGGACAAACCCTGTATCTTGGTTCTCTCTTACCGCCGTCTTTTCTTTAGATAGAGGGAGTGAGATAGAGGCCTGTTATTCCTTCTGTTTCCTTTGTTTTATTCACTACCTGAAACTATGAAAACCACAGAAAGAGACAAGGAAGCCCATGGGCAAAGCCATCCACACATACACACACAAAGCAGATCAGTTTAAAAGGCTTCTTCAACTGGTGGCAGCTGCATAGCAAAAAAAAAAAAAATGCTGACTTTACGCCATCACTCATGAAAAAACGAGCAGCTCTACGAAAGTGGAAGGGCAGAAAAAATGTAACTGCGCTGAAAGCCATGACAGCTCAGGAATAACCTCTATACGTATTAGAAAAAAGGGATTTTCATACTTGTCCCCTTTATTCTTTTTAGTTCTATTTTTTTCTTTTCTCCACTTCGCTTTCTTTCAATTCTTCCGTCCTTCCTTATACTTCACATTTTAGCTGTCTCTTTGGTAATTTCACCGCATAGGCATCGGCGGCCTCCCTGTAGCTGCCGGACCCGTGCTTGATGACCGCCGGATATACTGCGGTTGGTATGGTTTTTGCTCAGCCGCGTCCGCCACTGTTTTTGTTGGGAGTGGGCTAGCCGCTCTATTGCGAGATGTGATGGAGTCCACCGAGTCGTCACGGCTAAAGGCACTCTGCACCGACCCAGCCCGAGACGCGCGTGCTGACGTCCTCTGACCGCGCCACTCCAGCCACTCCTCCATCAGTGAGGTGCGGAACCCGGGGCGGCGCTCTAAACGAGAGAGCAGTGAATCCGCAAGCTGTTCACGGCCATCGGCGAATCCGCTCAATGACGCCCTATCGCTCATTCGCTCATAAAAGCTTCCGTTAAGCGAAGAGGGTCGCCGCCAGGATGAGCGATCCCGTGAAAGACCAACATCAGATGCCCCATCGGGTTGGATTCTCTCGCCCCTGCGCTTAAGGCTAGAACTACGGTGTACATTGTTGTGGCTGCGCAGCGGTGTGCTGCTGCGCCTGTCACCGTACATGCTGTCAGGAGTCGAAAATGTTCTCGAGGGAGGCTCTCGGCGGTGCGGCACAAGTTGTGGCACATCCAACCCTTTGGTAGGCCGCCGTGTAGCGGAAGAGGAGCGCGAGTTGCGTTGGGCAATTTGCTCCAAGAATGTCTGAGTCTGGCTCACATTCTCTGCATTCTCATTCCTCTCGCTCTGTTCTGCGTATGAGGTGGCACCATCATCGGTGCGACGACTTTGCTGCTCACCAGAGGATGCAGGGCCGGGCGGCGGGGTAGATACGCCCCTATGTACCTCAGCATCATCACGTTGCAGGGGCTGTTGTTGTTGTTGTTGTTCTTGCTGCTGCTGCTGCTGGATACTCTGCGAATTAACATCGTCTTTCCGCTGCATTGCACCATCCCAATGGCTTTGCCTCACATTGGGGTCAAAGTAGCGCTTCTGTACGTATTCCTTCGCCGCGTTAATGCGCTGTTGACCGGCATATCTTGTACTTGAAGAAAGCTGAGATGAGGCACGTTCCTCTCGGACACTTGACGCTAAAGCAGACTGCACGGGCTCCTTTGTTGCTGCAGCTGATGCCGTCACTGTCTTGTATTCCTCCTCATGGTAATTCATTGTTCCACGGGACTGAACAGAAGGGGGCTGCAAGTTCTCCTTTGCCTGCGTCATATTGTCCAGATTTGGCACGGCCTCCTGCTTCACCTCCGCATTTGCTGCACCCGTGCGACGCACCGTGACCTCCAGGGAAGCTGCCTGTTGGGTCGGGTAGTAGCGAAAGGGAATGGAATATTCCTTCCGTGCACCAGGCGCCACACGAAATTTGGCGGGGTCCAGTGAGAAGCCCGCCACCTGACGTTCATTCTCCCAGAGTGAAAACCGTAGCCTTTCACTTCCTCCCTGGATTTCCTTGAATGTCACACTGTGAAAGTAACTAATCTCCTTTGGATTTTGGCACTCTACTATCGGGGTGCGTGAAGTGGTGCTGCCATAGCGTACCTTTATGTAGTACATTCCTCCCAGGAGCAGAGGCGCAGGGTTGTCCAAGTCGATCGCCTCATTCTTAATAGAAATCTTTTCAAAGTCGATCTCTAGGTGCTCGGAACTCCTATCAAGCGATTTGCCTACATCAGGTGCAGATGCAGGCGCAGGTGTTTTTGCATCCGTGTTGTTGACGTTGCGGCTGAGAGAAGACTCCAAGGAGTTACGCTGCGTCGTCGCAGTATCCGGGGGTGACTGCGACTTCTCTTTGCTTCCGTGCCGTCTTGTGTGACTCTGTATTCCGTTATTATTGTTGTTGTCATTGTTACTTTTGTTCGAGTTGTGGGAGCTGGAGTCTATTTGTCCTCTCTGAGTCGGCAGTGAAGGCGGTGCATACCTGTTGAGTGGCACTGCGTTGAACGTCGCAGTATCCCTGCCGCGGTCGTTCTCTCGCAGTCTTTCCTCCTCCCCCGCCTCCCGCGCCTCCATGGCAAAGAGGAGTTTGCCAATCACTTGTCCAGCAGCATCTCGCAGCTTGATCGCGTAGTTCTTCGACGGCTTTCCGAGGTACGGCAGTGGATCAAGTGTCCCCTTCGCCACCACAGGGACGGCACCTCCAACGCAGTTTGAAGGCTTCATCATGAAGGCGATCACGTCCGCGTCGCCGTCGAGATCGAGCGCCCCACTGGCACTGTTGAAGCTCAATGTCATGTCGGAGCCCTGCGCCCTGAAGTACGACGCCGGCGTGCAGCCGCTCGGCTCGCTGGGCGATGCAGTGCGGGTGCGGGGGACGCGCGACCAGTGGCAAGCAAAACTGGCGTTGTCAGGAATGCGACGGCCGTCTGCGTCCGAAGCGAAGAGGCCGGCGAACGTCGTCACATCGCATACAAAGCGATACAAAGTGAACTTCAGAGAGATCATTATCTCGGTTGCCCGGCACACGATGATGATGGGGGGTGGTGAAGCACCGCGGTATGTGGTTCGCCGAATATTCGCCTTTACTCCCTCGTTTATGCTTACGTGGTGAAAGCCGTAAGCACACATGGGTCAACAAGAAAATAGAAAAAGAAAAAAAAGTCCAAGAAGCAAGAGTGGAACAAGCATACGCAGAGACGCCGCATGGCAAGAATGGAGTGATATCTCCCATAAAAAACAGAAAAACCAGTAAAGGAGTGTGCATAAAGCAATCGGGTAAGACAAAAGTCAAAACGAAAAAAAAAAACAAGGACTAAAAACATTGCATTTTTCGTCCTCCTTCATTTCCTCACGAGTTTGAGGTAGAGGGTGTGGTAAGCGACTTGCCATCGCCCCCAACGTACATGCGGTCTGATGACGGCACGTAGCCTGATCCAGGTGAAGTGCGTCGCTCGTCACGTCTCTCCACTCCACTCAACGTCAATGTCTGCGACGACGCATCGTCAACGGTCAACAGACTCACAAAGTCCGTAAAGCTCTCATTCCTGGAAGATGTACCATCAACATCCCGCTCCGACGTGTAGCGAGACAGTGTCTGCGCTATCGGCACACCTTCTGCCAAGAGGTTCCGCCGCCTTTGCACAATAAGTTGCTGCCGCTCCTGCGGTGACTGTGACGATGATTGGACCACCTTCCCCCGAGGGGTGTTCTCGTGGAGAACATTCTCCGACGTCAAGTCGCGCAGAACCCGCGAATACTTCTCGGTGTGCCTCTGACGCGAGGGCCTCACCTTCGAACTTCTCGCATCACACTGCACCTTTGCGCTTAGTTGCTGTGCAACCTTTAGTCGTTCCTGGAAATCTGATTTCTCACGCTCAAGTTGCCGCTGAGATATTGCGTGGTCTGCTTCCGCGGCCTCCACAATGCCACGCCTGGCCTCCACCTCCGCCGCCGCACGGGCGAGGCGATCGTACGCGTCAAAAACAGAGTGAAGTGCGGTGTCAGCGGTGGTGTGCTGCGTAGCTAGATCAACAAGCTCCTGTGTTATACTTGACGCGAAGCCCCGCTGCGCCGCCCACACGTCTCTGTGGACCGTCTGCAGCGCGTGCATCTGTCCCAGCATGTCTTCCGTCACCTGTGTCATGATCGCAACGCCATCCTGCAACTCTGCATTGTCAGACGACGCCATGCCAATAGTAAGGGAACGAGCGAGTTCACGCCGCACGTCCTGGTTCCACGCCCGGTACGCACACTCCACCCCCTGTAGCGCAGCAGCAGCCCTTACGCGGCCGTCCCGAAGTGTATCCGTCATGGAGTTTACGCACTGCTCTAGCGGCGCCACAGCGGCCCGGAATCTTTGCCACTGCACTCCGAACTGATGGCTAAGCTGGCGCGTCCTTTCCTCAGACTCCTGCAACATGCGCTCCTTCTCCTTTATCACATACGTCTCGCTTCCAATCCCAGGAAAGGCGGAGGAGATCGCCTGAATGTCAAACGACACCGACTGCTTCAGCTGCTCTACACGCTCCTGTAAACCCCCCACGCTCTTTTCTACAGCCTTGTACACCGAAGGTGGGGTTGTTTCAGAATTCGTATTGTCAAATCGGTGCTGACGCCGAACTAACGCGTCCCTCTCCGCTGTGTAAAGCCGCGCCTGGTGGGAAAGTTCAGCCGTATATCGCTCTTCCTTTCGCTTCTGCTCTTCCATGAATTTCGTTTCAAGAGCTGCCAGTTCCTCTTGAGACCTCTGCACCATCTCGTCAATCGTGCGCTGTGTGCGCATACAAGCCTCCGCCATCGTCGCTCTTTGCTGATCCGCAAACTGCTGCCGAGTCGCAGTAAGGCGGTTCTCGAGCGCCAACCGTGCCTTCATCATCGAGTGACCAAAAATGGAATCTAATCTAGATCGATGCGTTATCCTTCTCTCCTCCCGAAACTTCTCAAACGCCTGGTTCATTGCGTGTTGGAAGGAGTCCCGCTGCTCGCGTCTTTGACGACGGTCATTGGAGAAAATATCGAGGCGCTGCTGTGCTGATTGCGCCACCACCTCTCTGATGCTGCCAACGAGAATAGGCTTGACACGCATGCACATGCCAGTGCCTATTTCGCTAATCCCAGCCCTTAACTTGTCTTGCAGTTGGCCTAGCGCCCTCTCATAGGGCTCCGTGGTGCTGACGGTCCCGCCCATGGCGCGGTGCCGCTCCTCCACGGCGGCCAGAGAACCCTTCTGCTGCTCCACAAGCGTCTCTAGGTGTTTCACCTCATTTGCGTACTGTGCTCGCAGGGCATCCATCACACAGTTCAAATCCTTCATTTCAGACGTCTCACCCTCTTCGCGCAGTCGCTCCTGTCTCTGCTTCAACGCCGCCTTCACCGATGCCATTATTGCAGCGGCATGTTCTTCTTCTTCTTGCTTTGCACGGACCTGCTTCTCCAGGGCCTTCACTTCCAGGCACGCCTCATCCTCGCCGCTCTCCAGCAGAGCGGTGCGCTTCTCGCAGTGGAGAAGCTCGTCTCGCACGCCCTGCAGCTCCCCTTGCAGCTTCTCACACCGTGCACGTAGCGAAGCAGATACCGGTCCCACGTGATTTGATGGCACGGGAGTGGCGGCGGCGGCGGCGGCGGCAGCAGGAGCAGGAGCCGCAACGGCAACTGGGGGTGAGGCACGTGGTGGCGGGGGCGCAAAAGACGTGGGCTCGTCATCAAATTCAAGAAACGAGAGCGCGTCGTGGGTGGCAGGAGGTGCAGGGGCGGCGGCGGCCGTCCCTCGCGTGGTCGCGGGGCCAACAGCGATGGCGTCACTATCGCCGAACAGCCAGTCTGGCTCATTCCCCGTTGGAGGCGGTGCACTGACAGTCGGTGGCGGGGCGGACAGCGGGGCCTGGCCCTTCCGCCGACCGGCCACGGGGAGCATTCACTGCCTGTCCGGTCACGAGAGCGAAGGCAAGAAGCAACAGGAGCGCAATAGCAACAGAGTCACGCACACGCACACTTCCACTGCACAGGGCAGGACGAGAAGGACAAGCAAAGGACGCGGCATCCAAAAGGTTTATTGAGTCTCGACACACCTATACAGCAGCACTCGATACTCACGCATAACATGGCGAGACGGCGCCGCCACACGCACCGCAGCAACGAGAAAAGCAGGCACAGCAATAGCAGTAACCACAGTGCCAAGAAAAACAGGAAAAAAAGAATCCGGTAAACGAGAAACAAAAAAAAAAATGGTGTTATAAACATTGCAGCGGTCCGATTTTTAGACGAAGCGCCTCGTCTTATGCGCAAAGAAAGAAAAAAAAAAAAAAACGGAAATTCGAACAAACCAAAAAAGAGAGGAAGAAGAATACAGCAGCAATGATAAATGTCTTGGGGCGCCAAGAAGCTGGCCAAGCATCACGATCTGACGAAGTGTTGGCCACCGTGGCGGTGGGGGCGGCGGTGGTGGTGGCGCGGTCATTTCCCCCCGTTTTTATATTTTTTTTTTCCTCTTCGATTCTCTTCTCTCGGGACTTCCTTACACCGCAGCCGCGATCACAAATCACTGCGCCGACTCCGTCAGAAACGTGTTTGTCTCGGGCTCCACGGTGGGACCGCTTACAAAAAAGTCTGTATCGCCTGTAGCTGTACATTGTTTTGGCTTTGCCGCGTTTGACCTCCCCTGCAGCTGCTTAAAGAGGATATGCAGCACGCGCTCCTTGTCCTTCCAGCTCAACTGTGATATTTCAATCGACTGGAGGTCCTTCAGCTTCGGGGCGCTGGGGATACGTGAAAATTCGCTCTGCCCAAATGTATGGCCTCCCTCCAAAAGGGCAGAGTGGGTCGCCAACGCACCGGTTTCGGAGTACTGCCACTCCTTTGCGGGAATGAGGCGGTTCTGCGCAAAGGCTATATCGCCCCTCGGCACTGCAATCAACGGAAGGGACGGCACACCAAGGCTCACGTCGCCCAGAGGTGGTTCGGCATTTTGCCACGTGGCGTCCGCTTCAACGCTACCATGGGTGGACAGCAGAGGCGGCTGCGGCGGCCGCCTCCGCGCGTCACGATCACTAATCAGCAGCAACTCACTATTGCGCTGCAGTCGCGGGGAAAGCCTCTGGTACGTCAGGCTTGGGCACTGGCAGTCGATGGTGCGGGTCTGCACAAGCCGCTCCTCTAGCAGCTCGCGACGCACGTGTGCTAATGCCTCGTAGAAAAACTGCTCCAACTCCGAGCGCCGCTCCACAATCTTCCGCGACAGCGCACGGAGCTTGACGAGTTCGCGGCGGAGGCGCTCGTCGCTTGATCTCGCCTCGTCACGCTCGCTCGTCAGTCGCTTTACAGCAGCGGCGTGCTCCTTCGCCTGCTTCTGCAACCGTTTATCGTACTGCTCCACTACTGTGTTAAGGTTGTCCTCCGCCGTTTTGACTTGCTCCCTGAGAGCAGCAATCTCGCGTCGTTGTCGAGCACCACGTGTGGCGTATTCCATTTCTGCCGAAGCGGCAAGCACTACATCCTGCTCCAGTTTTTCATTTCGCCGTTGCAGCGCCTCTGCTTGATCCCGCGCACTCATCGTCTCTGTTGCAAGTAAAACCCTTTCCTGCAACAGCTTCTCATTTTGTTTACCCATCTTGTGCTTTTTCTTGGTGAAAAGATCCGCCGCCAGTTTTTGAACATCATCCTTGTGCCTCTTGTGCAGCAGCTGTTCCTCCGCCCTAAGCCGTACCCTTTCCCCCATTAGATGTATTCGGAGGCTCCGTGTGTCCTGCTCATGACGTTCCTGCTCGTCCGCATACGCCTTTTGCAACGCCTTCATTTTCCCGTTGTGTGTGTCGCGCGCCGCCCTAAACTCCTCTACACCCCTCAGCTCCTCCTCCAGGAGTGTGACACGCTGCCGCAACTCTCCAATTGTGCCGTCACGCTCCCGCAGCTTATCCTGGAGTGCAGACATCTCCCTCTCTACTTCCCGCCGTCCCGCCACGCGCGCGGCCTCAACGTCGGCGCGCAGCTTCGTACTTTCGCAATTCGCTACACGCAGCCGCTCCTCCAACGCCTCCACGACCGTGCGGCCGTCCCCCTCCGTCGCAGTCAAATTCTCCTCAAGCTTCTCCTTCTCCCGCACCAACTTTTCGTTCGACGTGGCATAGTATGCAGAGGTCGCCTTGGCTGAGCGTAGCTCAGCGTTCGCGAGCGTCGCAGCAATGAGCGCCAGCTCCGTCTCACGGCCGTCGCTGAGCACCATCTCGTGCGACGTGTTGGTGGCGCTTGAGACGCTCCGTCGCGCACCGCCGCTCCGCCGCACAGACGGCCCATTCATGCGGGCACTCATTCGCCCCTCCATTCTGCACCCCTCGCTGTCTGTCTTGCTCTCCCTTCTTGCACTCTTGGTCCTCCCTCCCCCTTCTCTGTCCCTATCCCCACCCCCGTTTCCTCTTCCTTTTCCTTTTTGCCCTCGACGGGCCTTGTTCTCGCTGCATGATTTGCAGGATGAATGGAAAGAGACGGAAGTAGCAAAAAAAAAAAAGGATTTAGACATCCTCCTGCTGGTGCCGCCATTGCATTCTCACCCAGACACACATAGACATGGGCAAGGGAATATTTGTCAATGACAACCACATCAATATCCATTATATACTTCTATCAACTCATCCTTGTTTCATTTTGGTTTTTGGTCTTGAAGACAGGGGCTAGCCATTATGGCAAGAAAACAAGAGCAGTGGCAACAGCAAAAACGGGCAGCAACTCGTTGAGAGCCTACAAATACCCCCGAAGCGCTGTGCATGTATTTGTGTGTGTGTGAAGGACTAGAGGCATAATTTGGCAGAATTCTCATGATGATTGCTTCATACGTTCCACCTCCTCCCGGACAAAACGCTCAGCGCGCGCGATAACGAAATCATCATGCGCATTAAAGATCACCTGATCTTCATCTTCTCGTGGAGAATTGTACATAGCGTTCATCGCAATGGCGTCGTAGTGCTGGCCAGTGTAGACGACAAAGGTCATCACAGTATAGCCCATATTCTCTCCAATGCGTTCCATCCGACATGATTCCAAGTCGAGTGCGATTATCTCTGTATGCTCGAGGAAACTCAAGATAAACAATTCGATGCTACCACCCCATGTCGTGGGGCGTCGGATCCACTCCACATATTCGTGATTCGGCCGCTCGAGCAGCAGCTCGGTAAAAAACTCGGGGTTCGACTGCACAACATTGGCGCATTCCTGGCGTAGCAGGGGACCATCTGTGCGACTCTTGTTGCGCAGCACGTACGCGGCGGCGTGGAAGAGGCAGGAGTTATCGGAGGGGCACACACGGCGGGTGAAGTGCCACCGCTCATTGGCGGGCGGTATGTAACGCCCTGTCGACACGCCCCGTACCACAGTTGCCTCACCCTTCTGCAGGAACAGAGTGTTTTCCCCACGCAATACGGTGCCCACCTCAGCGTTGTCATCCGCGTCTACCACGAGCCGCGGGTAGCCAATCAGCACGCGCAGACAGCTCTTCTCGATGCCGGAGCGGCTCTCGAGTGCGTACAGGAACGCCCCCCACGGCGTTGACGCCTCCACTGGAAAATCAACTGGCTGCGCGCTGTTCGGCAACCGCAGCCGAAGGTTCAGCATTGCGTTACTGCACTAAGCCCCATCAATGGCCACCAAAAGCAGCGGGGAGAAAACACGGGAAAGGGAAATGGAAACAAAAAAGTAAATAGGAATACGGCACAGAAATCAGAGATCTACAACACTTATTGCCAGGCCGCCCCCCTTTTTTCTCTTATGTTCCCCCTCACGTTTACACTGAAAAAGCAATAAATAAATCAACCGAACCACATAAAAGAAAGCAAAAAAGAAACTGCACCAGACGCAGCACAACAATAACACGGCATTGGCGACGCATTCCCCTGTTGTTGTTGCTGTTGTTGTTGTAGTTGTTTGTTTGCTTCTTGGATCAATGATATTGGAGTAACACGCTGTTAAATACGAACACAAAACAGAAAAAGAACTACCCCCCCCCCCNCCCCCACACAAACAAAAAAGATGAAACGGTATGCGACTTGGGAAACAACGAGATTAGATCGTTAAGAATCAGGCGACTAGTGCTGCGTCAAGCTGAAGCAATCCAGTGGCAGCCTGCTGCAATTGTGAACTGTACTACCCCATGCCTTGGACAGTCTTCCCGTAGACGTTTGAATTCCTCAGAGCTCTGATCATCACCAACGATGCCGCCCTCGAGGTTACACGACAAGTGATCATGCTGCACATGATGCAACCCATCAACCACACACGCACCTTTGTCGTGTAGCAACAAAGGTCAGCACTCAGGGGCGACGTACTGAAGAAGGCCCGCACGGGTTGCCACGTTTGCCACATCCACTCGCCGTCCAAGTCCAAAGTCGGCGAGGACCATTTCCTGAGCGCTGTGGCGCCGCAGCACGGTTTACGGCTTAATGTCTTGGTGCACGATGGGGAAAATGGTTTGTGTGGAGACGGTGCACGGCAAAGCATACCGGGAGAGCATACACCTTGGTGAGCATATACTCTGGTATCTTCACACCCCTCTCGTATTGATCAAGCATGTAGTGGAGTAGGTCACCGTCTGGATGAGTATCCCACCACAATGCAGAGATACCGCGTGGCGAGTATGGAAGGGGGGAATGAGCCCCAAATTACGAGCGGGCTTCCAGCGTCATCACTGCGGCACCCATTATTCAGCATGCCGCCCCAAACGATGGTAAGGCTGCGGCTCTGCAACCCAGCAATAGGCACCGAACTGGTTCAGTTCATGAGCATCTCTTCCAAGTGCATGATGTGTAGATGTTCCTGTGCCTAAAAACATCCAGGGCCTCCACGGCGAGTAGGAATGATATATTTACATATTGGCCTTCAGCATAGATAACTCTTCCCTGCATAACAAACACACTTCCGCCTTCTCTCGCAGTGCTAAAATGAACCGTCTCTAGACTGTTCAAGTTGAACAAGAACAAGTCGTAGAACAGTAATGTCGGATCATTGCCTCCCTCATTCCTGGTCACAACGACGAGGTAGTGAAGGATCCGCCTCAGCACATCGATTCCTTCCAGTACATTTGTGATGGCAACCATCGGTGCCGTGAACTCGGGACGACTGCTCGTCACAACGTCCCTGCTTCTACCGACACCATTGCCACATTCTGTTATTGCGGGAGCGACCCACCATACGCAGTAACTTCACTAATAAATTAACCCCCAATGTACACACCACTGAGCAGAACAGGTAGTAGCGAAGCTTGTTGTGTGTGTGTCTCTCTCTCTGCAACACTGATGCCGCAGAAAATGTGTGACTGCAAACCAGTGCCCAGGCTCGGTCACTGCTTCCCAAGCCGCACTGCCATTCCGTATTAATCACGACTGTGCGAGCAGTGTCGTTCAAAAAGGCCCAAAAGTGTTATTCAACCAGGAAGAACCTCCATCCAAAAAATGCCGACTGTCTAGTCCCAACAATCATGGAGGAAATGGAAATGCAAAACTCTTTTCCCTTCAAAACTGACGGCATGGTATCTGTTTGTACCCTTTTTCGTTGGATTGAAGCAATCAATCACAACTACTCTGGCGCCGCCTACAGGGGATTAGGTTTGGATGACAACTCTAAAAAGAGCGGCATCTCCTTTCAGCGCTGTTCCGCTGTTTTTCGCCATGGAACTGGAGAGTCCATCTCAGCGCCTCCACCACCAAACACCGTGAACGATGGGGGTGGGGAAAGCAACAGCAGCACGACGGCCAGAGAGAGCACCGGAATGCATCAGAGACATTACGATTCTCCAGAATAGCGCAGAACTTCCTCTCCCTCCCTTTATATGTAAGTAGACAATAACAAGGACAGAAAGGGAAAGTACAACAAACACAGAAAAGTTTTTTTTTTCTTTCCTTCTTCACAGCAGAAAAAGCAAGTGTTGCTGATGGACGCAGGTGAGATTGACTTTTCATCGGTTTTTTTTTTTTTGCGCACTCCCTCGTGTCTGTGCGTGTGTGGATGTGCGCCATGCTTCACGTCTGAGCACCCTAATGACGGGTTCAGAGGCATTTGGCGCGGTTTATTTACATGAGTGATAATGGTACCCGCCCCTTTCCCCCCTTTCAGGGGTTTTCAGAAGTTGAAAAGATACCATTGCCTCACTCCATGCTTACATCATCACTCTACCTGCCGCAGATGTACCAGGGTGGACACATTTCCCTCCATGTGGTCCGTGGCCTTTTCCCACTCGCAGCAGAGATCTGAGAACCCTTCCCCATGCACCATATCCTCAGATGCCTCGGTCATGGTTTTGTACAGCGTGGCACGCTTCTGAAAGATCTCAAAATTCGCCTTGTACTGCTCCGCCTGTATGGGGGTACATTTATCATTGAAGCACTTCATGTGCAAGGCCATGAATTTCAGCGCAGACTCCTCCAGCGAAAGACCCGGATACTTTGGCCGCGCCTCTGCCACAGCGATCAGTGCGCGGGCAACAGGATCGTAGAGAACTCGTCGCATAAAATTCTCCTCGTCAATCGTCGACAGTGCCTGCCCCTCAGGGAGTGGCTGCTTCCGCTGAGGAGGCAGGCTTGCCCCTTCAATGTACTGCCAGGGTCGCATCAAGAAGCGTTCCACCATTGCCTCGTCAAGGAGTGCGTAATAGCGGCCATCGTAAACTACAATGCATTTCGGATCCCCTTTTTTCGCCAGCGGCTCTAGCACGCCGCGAAGACCCCTGTTATTGCGTGTGTCGTACAACGTGACAGGGCAGCATCCGAGGAGTTCCAGAGGGTATTCAGCGCCGGGTTGCACTCGCATAGGCAAAGCATTGGGCAGCGGTTTCAGTCCCGGTGGCCCTGTCACCTCTGCTGGGCAAAGCAGAAAGCGTTGCAGGAAAGCGTCTGAAGAAAAGAAGTAGTACATGCCGAGGTAAAACGCACCGTGGCGCCGGCTACTGGACTGGTCAAGAAGATTTTCACCCATGGACCAGCCGTACGGGCAGAACCATTGGTAGGATGAGAGGTGAGTCTTCACATCTAGAAATGTGTGGTACGTGTTGTCCATGCTCATTGGGAACCCCCTGGCACGACTCAACGCCGCACGACCCTCATTCACACCACACGCATCGACGCACTCCGTTATCTCTACAATCGCTGCAATAGAAGCGCGGGGAGCTGAAATTGATGTTGTGACTGTCGCAGTAGACTTTATCAAGGTTGTCACGTCCGTGTAAATGTCATCAAACTGAAACACCTTGTCTATCCGCAGACCCCATGCCGTCAGTAAACAATACTGGTCTCTTGTCCTGGGCAAGTTCAACAGTACCACGCCTCGCCGTCTTGCATCTGCCGCATTAAGACGGTGCCCCAGAAGCTGTGCCACCAAGATATCATCCACAGATCCGCTGAGAACAGCATTAATGGTGTGTCGTGACAAGGAGAGAAGTGGTGCGTGAGCTGCTGCCCAGGAAAGGAGCTTCGGCAGTGATACAAAGAGATAGTTGAGGTTGAAAGCAATATGATGAGCAGTACCTCGTTGCTTTACACCCACTCTGGAGTGGGACAAGTCGGCTTCATCGTATATGGAAATAGTCGTATTCTTCACCGGTCGTGGCAATGGTGGTGGTTGCTGCACAAACAGGAGTGGATCACGCAGATAGCGCATAAGAGCGGCATCACTATCAAAAAAGTACAAACGGCCACAGAAGAGGGCTGCCCGCTGGCTCCGGCGCAGCCACTCACGCCGCTTTTGTCGTTCATGGGCTTCAAGTATCTCCCCCATCTCCTCGGTATCGTGCTCACTCATATCATCGTCATCATCATCAACGGATCCCTCGGCGGAAGCCAGTATATTGTCCCCTGTATCTTTTTCTTGTGGTTGTTTCTGTTGTTGCTGCTGCTCCTCGTCTTCTTCTTCTTCTTCCATCTCCTCGTCGCCATTTGAATCCTTGGTTTTGTCCTTCAGCTCTGCTGCAATCACGGCCTCCGCTGTCGGCTCTGGCTCAGGGGCCGTACCGTCTGGCATCCACTTGCACACACGTCTCACCCCGTGTCGCCCATCGTACAGAGCGACGGGATCCGTGTTCCCGAAGCACGAGGGATTCGCCGCACCAGACTCCAGCATTTTTTGCGCAACATCAAACCGCACAACCTCGGCAACGTGCATAAGTGAGCGACGGTGCTCAAACACATTAAAAAGACGACGACAGGCAGCACGAAACACCGCATTGATAGAAAGGTCACCATTGAGCACAACAACCTTGACCAAACGTTCCGAGATCGCCTCCGAAAACTCATTAAGTGCCTCCTCCTCCACATTCCGATCCATCTCGAGTGCGCGCGCAATGGCGTCTTCATCCTGCCCAGCGGCCTGCTCCCGATCCACAGACTGCTCTTCCTCGTTCTCACCGTCAGGCTCAGACTCGGGGTCATCCTTGCCAATGTGACGGCGGCGCCACTTCCACAACTCGCGCTCCTTTCGTTGCCGCTCCTTTTCTGTCCAGTTCTTTGTCGGGACTTCCTCCGCTGGCGGCTCCTGATCTTTCAGATCCCCTCTTGGGGACGGAGGAGGTGAAGCGGTCGCCTTCCTATTACGCGCCAGGTACATGTCGCCCGAGAGCTCCATCTGCAGCGCCACCTCTGGGATGCCGCCGGTAGAGAAGAGCACTTCCATGTCACCGTCGGAGAAGGGCGGGCACACCATGATGTAGCCCCGCGACTCAAACGGCTCGATGCGTGTGACGCAGCTGGCGACCTTTAGGTATGCCTCGCTGAGCCGCAGCTCGCGGTCTTCGTCCTCCTCTGGCTCGAACTCAAGGTGCTCTTGCAGCCGAGCCTCGGCCTCCTCGTCTACCTCTTCTTCGTCCTCTTCTTCATCCTCATCGTCCTTCTCTTCAGCCTGTGCACGTCGCTCCATTTCGGCCTCAGCTTCCTGCCGAAGTTTCATGCGCCGCTCCTGATCCGCGGCGAATTCCCGTACCTGCTTCAGAATGGCCTCCGCAAGTACGAGGTAGGGATTCTCACCCTTCTGCTCGGCAATGGCAATCCCATTAACAATTTCACCACCGGTCCTTCGCGCAGCCTCTACGCAGCGCTCAAAGAATTCCCGATCATACAGAAAACATGGCACACTATATTCCCCATGAAGTGCCTCTGCTAGGGTCTTCTTGCCGCTCCTTGAGTATCCCACCATCCACACGCGCGGCGGCACGTACGGCGGCGGCGTTTCCAAGTAACGCAACGGGTTTCGCTCAAACTTGGCCTTGGCCTCTTCTGATGCAAACACGTACAACTTTTGCCTGTACTGGAGGCATAATTCGTTGCGGCCACGCACCAGCAGACGCTTCTCGTATAGTGTCACAGGACAGTACTGCAGACGCGAGCCGAACTGGTTCAGGAACCTTTTGCCTGGCCGTAGAGCCGGATCGACCGGCCCGATGGCAGGGCCGTCCTCGTCCTCCTCCTCGTCCTCGTCGGCATTGTCCATTTCTGCCTCCTCGTCGGCCTCCTCAAGAGTTTCGTCCACGGCACCATCCTCAACAGGTGGCATGCCGGGGCACACCACTTGCAGGACCTCCGCAGCCAAAACACTTGCATCTTTGTCGTTGACAGAGAACCGATGGATTGTGAACGTTTGCGACGCCTCATCCGTGTCACCACCCGGACTACGCGTGCGCGTGTCCAACTCCTCCAGCATTATTACTTGCGGCATTTGGGGTCTTGGCACACCCCCCTCATTTCCGTCGTCTCCCTCCTCTGAAGCTGCTGCTGCTAGTTCTGCTGCTGCTGCTGCCGCCGCCGCCGCTGCCGATGCCGCCTCTTCATCCTCGTCCGCTACAGGGCGATCGTACTGCAGCACAACCACCGTTTCGGGCAGCACACCCTCACGAAGCAGAAGCCGGAAGGCGTCAATAGACATATCCCCAACGGCATGTACCAAAATCGGGACGAACGTCTTCCGGCGCTCCAGACGTTCCGTAACTGTCTTCTCTATGCGTGAGGTCACTGACTCAGGCCCCTCCGGCTCCTTCTCCCATCCTTTGAATTCTTCCGGTGGCTCAGGCTTTGACACCGTGCTCTTGCGACCTCTTTTTCCCTTTGGTGGGGGGTTCGGTTTCCTCGCTTTCTTTTTTAACTCCAAAGCCCTGCGCTTCTTTAACCGATCAGCGCGCAACTTTCGCTCCGTCACCTCATACTTCTCTCGTGCTAACAGGGCCTGATTTCGCATTTCCTTGAGGTTGCGATGTCTGTCCCACCGTGCGACGAAGTCAGCGAACTCCATAGGGGTGAGACACAGCTTTTCTTGGAGAATGTGAATCAGCTCCTGCACCGTGTCGGGTGTAAGCTGTGCTTCATCCTGCGCGTTCACTGTAGATATCAAGAGAATAGGTTCACCGTCCAGGGGCGTTGCACGCAGGTACACCGGTGGGTTCGCCTTGAACTTGGCAAGATTTACTTCCGAGGCGAGATAGAAGAGCCGCTGGCGGTACACGCAGCCGTACCTCGCGGTACCTTCCACCAGTACACCGCACTCAGCAAAAGTCACCGGGCAGAAGCGCTTCCACCTGCTGCAGCCTACAGCGCCCATTTCGGCAGCTACCTCCTCCATTGCTTTTGCCGTCTCCATGTCCTTTTCAAGAGAAGGGGTGGCTTCCAAATCCTGCCTCTCTTCTCCTTCTTGCTGTTCTTCCTCTTCTGCCGCAGCCGCGAGGTCCCGTGGCAGGACGCACGGCTCAAGCCGCAGCGTGTCCACAACGTACGAGACAGTGTCTTCGACCAATGACGTGCATCCAACCGTTAAGCAGTGGTCCAAAGCAGAGAGACGTTCCACAATCGCCTGGAAGCAGGGGAGGGCGGTAACGAGAACCTCCCCATTACGCTTCTCCTCTGGCGAGAGGGTATGTTCCACAAGACGCTTTAGAGCCAAGGACTTGATACGTTTTACCCGCTGTGCGCGCTCGTGAGCCACTTCAGTCGCCCCTCCATCATCATTCTTCTTCTGCTCCAACTTCTGTGACAACACACTCTCCGCCTCAGCGGCTGCAGCCTTCGCTGACTCTAGATCCTCCTGCTCTATTGTGTCTGCGTCCGCAGCAGCCATATCCTCGTACCTTTTCATGATAGATTGAAGCTGCTCAATTTCATCTTCTAACGCCTTGCGGCGGGATTCTTCTTCTTCTTCGGCAGCGCGCAGCTGCAGTAGCTCCTGGTGGCGTAAGCGCCGCTCCTCCAACGTGGCCTCAAGGCGCTCCGCCTGGAAGTTCTCGTCGTCGCAGCTGAGGTGAAGAAGAACCGTTGGCACTAGTACGTCTAGAATACCACAGCTGTTTAAGAAGTGCAATATATCTGCGTTCTCCGTGTCGTAAATTGGTGGTATATCACTGAATACATAACCACGGTACACAGTCTCATCCGCAGCAATCTTCCGACGAATCAACGCCACCAATAACGAGAGTGGAATGACGGTATCCCTCTCTAGACTCTCCAATAACTGGGCGCCTAGCGAATCTCCTTTATCTGCCTTCGTCATAGCCTCTGCAGCAAGATCTTCAACGCTCAAGAGCACGCAGTTCAGGCGCCTCGCAAGGGCCCTTGACACGGCTGTCTTTCCAACACCCCGCCCACCGTACACGACAATACGCGTCGTGTTTGCATCCACGCCATAAACGTTCATCTCATGTTTGATGTCATCAAGTTCAACCGGGGCGTAGAGATCGTTGGGATCGACGAGTTTTTGGGCATTGGAGAGAGGCTCGTGCAGTCTGAAAATGGCAGCGCCACCCTCGCATTCCGAGACTTGCATTAACCGCTCGCTGCTCCAGTAAAACTCCTCCAGGAATCCCTCTTCGTTGTCCACACGTAAGTACTGCCGACACATGCAGCGACACACCTCCACAAACTGCACCTTAGTCATAGTGCCGTCTCTACCCAAATGCTCGAGCCACATCGTCCTGGCTGCCGCCTCGGCCGCCGCGTCGGTGGCGTTGGTAAAGGCCCGCATGTAGAGCCACTTGAAAAACTCAGTGAATGGCAACAAGGCAAGGGTGTCACCACCCTTCCCTGTTGTTGTTGTTGTTGCCGCTTCTGCTTCGTTTGTCGCTGTTGTCTCTTCCTTCAGCTGTTGCTGTCCCCCGTCAGGCCGCACTAGCAATCCCCAAAGTGTATCGTAAATCTGGGGGAACTCACGAGGCTTCACAAAATCGACAAAGGCTTCAAATGGCGTCACAAGCGTTTTTGTATGCACCACCACAGACTGGGCGGTTAGCACCTGTTGCGGGGGCAGAAGCGTGAAGGGCTCCACATCCTGTGTCACGCACTCCATGAGCTCCTTCACAACACTCATATGCTGTTTCTCAGTCACGGCCAACCACTTCTGCTCCATGTCTGGCCACTCCAGCCATCTAGACTCCACATCTCTCAGCACACCGATGAATTCCTCCAGCGTGTACATCACCGTCTTCTTCTCTTCCGCATTACCCAAGAGCTTCTCGACACCGCTCTGTGCATCCTCAGAAATGGGGTTGGTGTGACATGCCATGAAGAGACACTCCGCAAGCTGCTGTATCTCCGAGAATGGGACGAGCGCCTCCCTTACTGAGACTTCAGGATCCGGTACCTCTCCCAAAGTCTCCTGCGCCTCTTGATCGGCATTGTTAGTGGCGGCAGCATCGATATCCGCCCGCAACTTGGCGATGGACGGCAACGCACACCAAAATTTCTCCTGCACGCTTTCTAGTGTTTCCTCATCCGGAGCGACTGCAGGAAGCACCATTGGTCTCCACGAACCAAACTCCTTCTGTGGTCTTTTTTTTTCCCCTCCCCCCGGTGTGGGAAAAAACTACTTTTTTTCTTTTTCCTTTTCGTTTCCAATACGCATGCCCAGAATCACCGCCAAAACAGAAACCACAACAATAACAAAAATGATAATAATACGAAGCAAGAAGCAAGACAACAGCACAAGACCCGCAACGGGAGACAGCACCAAGCCAAAATACCAAGCGGTCTGTTTCACCAAATACGCGAAAGGAAAGGCGTAAAAACTGAAGGACACTATGCCTTCAAAGTCTCCAGGAGGCTCTACGAGTTAACGAGCTCGAACCGAGCTGTGGGGGGAAGGCAAAAGAAAAAAAAAAGGAACACTCAACTTTATCGTGCGTTCATCCCACGCCAATACTCCTCCCCGTACGCATTAAGCTCAGCCGTCTTGAAGCTGACGTTGAGCGAGCGCCGCAGAATTTCATCAGGGTCTTTCCCCTCGTGCAGGGACTTGAGTGCAGGAAGGACTTCATCAAAGGGCAACGACAGAAGCCGCTTCTCCTCCCACTTCATCAACGCAATTGCAACACGGAATATAATCTTCCATCCTTCGCTCATGAAGATATCCCATATTCTCAGCAACGCGCGGAACTGAAAGTGGTACACAAACAGCGTCAGAAACCACTGTGAAGCATAGAAGGAGGGGTCAATTCCTATCTCTCTAAAGTATTTGTGTAGTTTTGGCAATAGTCGTGCCATTAGTTGTTTTAGCTGGTAAAACAGTTGCTGCAACATCGGAAAACCTGGGCGATACATCTCCCGGAGTTTGTACCGACCGTCGTGCATGAGCGCGTGGAGGGCCCAAAATGTCTCTTCCTCCCCCATCTGTGTTGAGAGTGCGCCAACAACGAAGCCCATGCCCTGTACATAACCCACCTCCGGGTCCACGCAGGCGTAAGCATGCAGCACCTTTCGCAGGAACGTCTGCCCGACACCGCCCTCTTCTCTAAAAAGGATGTGTGTCGGAAAAGTCCTTGCTAAATCCCGCCCGATTACATGAGTCAGTTCTGTATCGGCAAGCTCCTTAGAAAGCAGGGATTCATACGTGCCCCTGTTAGCCGGATCTGTCATTTGCTTGTGCGACCCAAGCAGCAGCTGCCACGCCACACCACGGAAACGCGCCGGAATGCCTTTGCGGCAACGCTCCTTCAAAGTGGCGTGCCGCTTGGAGTTCACATTTTCCCAGTCGGACGCCATGTTTGCCCACTTGACCTCGCGCCGAACCACTCGTTTCCCGTTAATGTTCTTCACGTACAGAAGCTCCTTGTTCTTGCCCTCCTCATCGATCACAAAGCCGAACTCGTCCACAAACTCCCGCTCTTCCTCTAATTCGCCCCCACTGCTCGATCGGCCATCGTACGAGTTCGCGTCCCCGCGGCGCGCACACGCATCACGCAACGGGTATGACTCGCTGCCGGGTGATTGCACCGGCGCCGGCTGCTGCAGCGGCGACGACGACGAACCCGTCTCGATCTCATCAATGTGGAACGACTCGGGTCTTGGCGGGGCGGCACCGTCACATTCTGCCGACTCCTCGTTCCCAAAAACGCTGCTCTCGTGATACATGAGGTGCTGCCACACACACACACATGCACACACACCGAGAGAGAAAAAAACAAAAACAGTTGGAGGAACGAGAACAGCCACAGCAGCGAAGAAGCAAGAGAAAAAAGCAAACACAGTGAAGAAACGGAGGGAAGGAGATGGGGAGAACAGGCTCACGCAGCCAACGTTCACAGCCCGCATGATTCATGCTTGCATGCATAGCGTGAGACAAGCGGCCAAACGGAATCAAAAAGACGGAGCAGGAATCACCTTTTCCGTCCCATTTCTTTCTCGTTTCCATTCTTCTTCGTGTGCGTGTGTGTGTGTGCGTCTCCCTCTCACTCTCCCATCTCTTTCTTGTCGCTTCCGTCTCAGTGCCGCACCATGAAGTAGCGCATCTTCCACCGCTGTAGCACGCGCACGCCGTGCCGTCGAGCAATTTGTACCGCCGTTGCAGGCATGCACTCCTGCAACAGCTCTGCTGGCGGTCCCTCCACGCGACACGTCGCCTGCGTCACTAACGAGCTCAGCGAACGCCGCGTCTTTTCGTCCATGGGGTCCTCTGGAAACTCCTGCGGTCCAACGCCAATGTACAACAGGACTGGCCGTGCCGAATTCATCTTGGGAGGCCCATAGATCCTTCCCCATGCCTCTAGGTAGCGCGGATTGGCGGTGCGATGATGTAGGTAATATGTGTAGTGTGCCGTTCGCACAAAGTTTAACACAAATTCCTCTGTTAGTTTGTCACATGAGGCGATGAAGGCCGATGCGTGAGGGCTCACAGCCAATGCATCAAATCGCATATGTGTTGCAGGGGCAAAGGGAACACCAATATGTCTGCAGTAATCCTTGATGATATCCTGATCGGCTCCCGTGTGACGGTATTCAAACTGCCTCGCGTCGATTAACTGATCCAGTTCGTTAAATGGCTCTTGAGGGTCTGCCATAATGCCCAATGTTGTCTGAAACGTCTTCACATTGTACGTGCGACGCAGTAACACGTGGTACATGTACTCCTTTCTGTGATAGACGCGTAGCTGATTCATGTTTTCAATGACAAGCGGGTGGCAGCTCACACCACTTAAAGCGGGATGGTAGTGCGTGAGCGCGAATCCCATGTTGCGGTACGCGTACAGCGTACGGTCCTCAATGTGCTTCACTAGTGGCGACGGTGCTGCTGTCACAGGATCCACAATATTCACAGGTATGGTCTGGTGAATATGCATATCTCACTACACTACGTCTCCCACCCCCAAACAGCGCCCCCTCACCGCAAAGACAAATGCCAAGTCCTGTCAACTTTTTCTCACAACACTATACTGACAGAAAGTTTGAAGTGAACGCCAAGTCACATAATGCTTTCCCCACCACTGCAGCCCAACCCATTCCTCTCATAATCACATCCCACGACGAGAGCAACACGGTGAAGTTCCCCTCCCATTACAGCAACTGGTGAACATCACCCACTCCACTTCACTTCACTTCACTCTTCATACTCCCCTTTTTTTCTCTCACTCTTTCGCTTAGAAGCCGTGAACTTGGCTTCCCATTTAAGCAGCTGTGCTGTTTTGAACTTCACCTTGAGTGCCTTCTTGAGAATACCGTCGGCGTCCTTGCCCTCGTGAATTCCCCGCAGAGCCATGAGAAAATCACTTTCATCCCTGGCCCGCTCCAGGGTTTTTTCATGGAGTAAAAGAAAGGTGATAGCCACGCGGTGAATGACCTTCCATCCCTCACAAAGAAACATATCCCATATGCGTGAGAGTAAACTGAAGCTCAGGTGATATGAAAACAGCGTCAAGTACCAATGTGTTGCGTAAACAGAGGGGTCGATTTCGTATGCCTTCATCCGCTTCAACAAACGTCTGCACTTGTGTTTCATAAGCTTCTTCAGTTGGTGGAAGCACACGTACAGAGAAGGGAATCCTGGAGCATACAGCGAAGCCATAGAGTACTTTGGTTCTTGCATGAGTGAGACGAAGGCCCAGAAAGTACTTTCCTCATCCTCTATCTGTAATAGGAGTGTGGCCGCCAGAAAGCCCATCCCCTGCACGTACCCCACAGCAGGGTCCATGTTGGCATAAGCGCGAAGAATGCCCCGCAGTTTGGTCTGCCCAACCCCGTTGGGATTTGCAAACCATCGGTGTGTTGGGAATGTGCGCCCCAGATCTCGCTCAATAACCGCGAACACCTCAGTGTCAACAGGGGTGCGTGACTTCAGCACCTGATAGTCTTCAATATTGGAAACTGCCCAGCCATAGCTGTTAAGGAGTAACGGCCACACCGTGCGGCGCAGTGACTGAGGGACACCTCTGCGGCAGTACTTCTTTTTGGTTGAATACGGAGCGCGACTCCACCGCTGTAGCAGAGCCGCCCAATCCTTTTGCGTTGACGGCATCTCAGGGTACTTCCGAATGTATTCATCCTCTATTGCCTTCTCCTTGGCGTCGATAAAGAAGCCGAAGCGGTCTGTCAGCCCCTCCACAGCCGAAACCTTCACGCTCCGCCCCATGGTTGAGGAGGGAATGAGCTGCGGCGAACTTGACGGCTCCGTCTTGGAGTGCAGCGTGGTCATAGCCCCGAGCCGCGACCTAACAATAGCAAAGAGAAAAAATATATAAAAACAACATTTCATAACAACAAGGAAACTCTGTCGCACCACCAATAACAGCTAGAAAAAGAGACGCCACAACCAAAGCCATAAGAATACCGATAACACCAACAGAGGATGCTATTGTATATTGCAAAGGACACTACGCATAAGGGAGGGAGTGGTAAGGAGTGGGGGAGTACAGAAAGGTTACAAATTCATTGCAAAACTTTATGTCAACCTCCTTCGGTTCTTTCCGGTTCATACACCGCTTGCGGGCACTTTGAAGGTGCTCAGCAGGCCTCACTGCGGCACAAATATCTCTCGAGAGCTTCCACTGACTGCTTATCAATTTCCCACTCCCCAGTCTCCTTCACACGCCACGGCTCCTCCGTACTCGCTCGGTGGATACGATACTGTTTGCTAATTGCAACTTCGCTTTCCCCAGCAGAGGCCTGGCGACTTTCTTTTGATAAGCGGCGCCCCAACCTGAAAAGCGAGAGGGTGGAAGTTACTTCTGCCTTCACAGACTTCAGCGGAGCACCAGCAGCGTGCGCACTAACAAGAAACATGTTGAAATCCGCCATGGCAGCAACAGAGACTCCTAGTGGCCGCACGGGTGGGGCAGCCACGGAACTCGTGTTCTCTGTCAGCTTGCAAAACATCTTCTCTGACATTTCATGAAAGCCGGGTTCGTCTTCAAGGAGATGTTGGAGGTGGTGTGCGGGCAGCAGAACAGCGAGTTTCTCCGCCACCGTGCGCAATAGCGGCATCCGCGAGCAATTGAACACGTTCCACAATGTCTTACCCTCGCAGAAAGCCAATATGTTATCAATCACAATCGAGAAGGGTAGCTTTCGAATCGGAACACGCACCCTATCGAGAACAATGCAGCCGCACGCCTTGAGCGCCCCTTCACCCACCACATTATGGCAGTACTCGTGGTATCGTTCCACCGCTAGGTCACGCAGCACTTGAATGGTCTCCACGCTTACCTCATTCCAATCCACCGTCGTCTCGCCCGATATCATGGCATCGCACAGCTCAATACAATCTGTCAAGTAGCCCTGGTCGTACAGCATCTTTGCCCGACCACTGTGAGCGTGCTCGCTATCCGGCTTGCGTTGGAGCACCTCATCGTACAACGCATCGGCGGTGTTCCAATCTTCCACGCGGCGGGCCTGCTTGGCGCGCCCAGTGAGAAGGTGATTCACGAAAACATCCGATGCGTTCAATATCGTCTCCCACTCGGCGCTGAGAGGTTGCGGCAAGAACTCGAGCGGGTCAAGACGATTTTCAGACCTCAGTAGCAAGCAGCGGGGGTAGCTAAGCAGCGTACATGCCACATCTGTGCGGTCATATGCAAAGGCCGTGTGGAGGGCATAAACTGCTCCCGCCGTGTTAAAGGCCTCGTGGAGTTCCGCCCTGTCGCTATGCAATGGAAAGAACGGCGAACGCCACTGGAGGCATCGCTCGCCGTCGAAGTCGAGCTGCAACGCAGCAAACTCTCCCACACCGAACGCCGCCGTCATAAAAAGCAAAGCACATCGCCTATCCTCTGGCAACTTACAATAACTCTGATACGCCACTATGCGCCGCCGCTTAAGGGTAATCTCTTTCCACTTGCGATGACAGTTGCTGCAGAGGGAATCGAACTTTTGACAAAAATCACACCGGAGGGAAAATGGTACGTTTAATTGCAGTGGCAACCTATGAGGCGGTGGTTGTTTCTTCGCCTTGCTCACCTCCTTTTGCGAGGCGTCTTGTGTCACTCGGCGGCCCAGCACAGCGTCGGCGATGTTCGACCGCATCAGGACAGTCTCGACCATGTAATAGACGCGCTGCCGGTTCGCCCCCCACTCCTTCGGCGGCCGCGAGGGCGTTGTGTGTGGCGATGCGACACTTGCCTCCCGCGAGATCGACACACGCGGGGAGCCGCCCAAAAATTCGCCCAACAAAAAACGAGTCCGTTGCCGTTGCTCCTCTGCAGCCGCATCCACCGGCTCCCGTGCAATGTTGGTACTGCCAACACGCGGAGTATGCGTTGCGTCATTCTCTTCGGCACTCACGAAGACATCGTCATGTGTGCATTCAACCACGTTGAGTTCATTACCCCGTGAAACATCAAAAGGGTCGATGTGGATGTGTCGGCTAGTGTTCTCTTCCATTAACCTCCAACGAGAAATCCCCACAGAGGCATATAACTCTTCTCCCTTTCTTTTTGTCCTTTGTACTGTCGCATGAAGAAATGAAAGTCAACAACAACAACAACAACAACAGCAAGAAGAAAAAAGAAAATAACAACAACAGCACGTGAAACGGAGCTCGGTGCGACTCCACATGCATGCACACACACACGCATATATGTATGTATGGCTACAAGTATATAATGCGTGTATGTGAAAAACGAAAGAGTTATGAGAAAGCCACAACCAAACAGAACTGCGATCAATGGATTGGTACCGAGTGTCTTTCGTTACTGCTGCAGTTTTCATGTTTTCCACTTCAGTTCCACGAAGCTGTCGCTAGACGTTTCACTCTGGCTCTTGTGCACATCTCTTCATAAGAGACGAACTACCATTCGCCTGAGCTCAAGCGCACATTACTGTTCCCCGCCAAGTCCTTTGACCAAGTATCTCTCGCACGGCCACGCAGGGCGCCTATCTCGTGCCTCATAACATCCAAACGTGTTAGCAGGATATTCTTTGCCAAGGCGTATGAGATGTGTCCCTCACTCACGAGCCACGGGGCGGTGTGTCGCACCATGTTGAACTCCGGGTTGAGGTTCATGATAAACGCCTCCAGCACGAGAACGGAAAATAAGAGTGATACGTATGGAGGATCCATCTGTACGTGGTTTTCGCGAATGCACTCAAATAACGCCTGTAGGATATTACTCACAGCACGATCGGAAGATTTCTTGGGGCGCCAGTGGTCAAAAAGCCACTCCGCCTCCCGTGCAAACTTTTCCTTGTCAACGAAGCGCTGAGTCTTGCCCATCCGTAGCAGCGCATCAACACACAGGTCAGCTTTCCAGTGTACAAAAGCCTCCATCAAGTCGTGCGTAATAGCGCCCTCCTCTGGGGTGATGCGCTGACAGAGTCCCACATCTATAAGCGAGACATGCGGGTCGTGCGGGTCCGAGACGTCGATGAGGATGTTGCCGGGGTGCATGTCCCCGTGCACAAAGTTGTCGTGCAGCAACATCTTGCACCACGTGTTAAGGCCTTTGTGAGCAAGGATGTCGCGTACATGCTCTTCTTGTGCGGCGAGAAACTCGTTGGAGGCCGGTTCGCCCTTGCAGAACGTCTCCACAAGCATGCGCTGCGTTGAGAAGAGTGGCCTCGGGAATTCCACAAATGATTCATGCTTAAAATTCTCTCGGAATATTGCCAAATGCTTCGCCTCCAGTCGGAAATCGAGTTGTGCTGCCAGGTGAGCCGTCCATGCACGTGTCAACGCCGGCAGTTCATACATTTCCAGGGAGCGGAAGCACTTGTCAAAGAACCATGCCATTCCCATAATGATGCAGAAGTCCTTCACAATTGTCTCCTCAATCTTCGGGTGCATCACCTTCACGACGACCTTCTCCCCTGTACTGCGCAGCGTGGCAAGATGCACTTGCCCAATCGAGCCCGACCCCACCGGCTGTTCCTCAATGTGTGAAAAGACCGACGCCGGGTCCTGCTGCAGCTCCTCCCGCAGCACCTGAAGCGACATCTGGTAGGGGTGGATGTCCACCTCGCTGTACAGCCGCCGAAACACTGTGCGGAACTCCGGTGAGAACATGTCGTGCCGCGTGCAGCTCCATTGGCCGGCCTTTACAAATGCGGGTCCTGCCCGCTCCACCGCACGAAGGAGCAGTTCCAGCCAGTAGAGATACCACTCCCTTCGCAGCCGCATCACCACGTAAAGCACTGCGAGTGGGAAAAAGAGAAGGAAAAGCTCCAAAAGACGGCCGGCAATCGACAAGGCACCGGGCTTTGCGATCACTCTCCCCTCCAAGACTAATGCGCCGTTTTCATTCACAACAGGGTAGACGACGTGCAGTTGTGGTCGCTTGTACTGCCGGTATTGTACATAGGCAGTGAGTCCGCCAATAGAAACAACAGGCACGCCAACGACGGTAGCAAGAAGCCTGCGGGCCCACAGGCGGCGGATGAACATGTGCGCGCGAAAATCCGTGGATAGCACACGCCAAAAGTCACACCCGCTCTGCCTGCACTGGACAGCCCCTTCAAACTAAGACTTGGTGGTCATGATAAACCACACATATTTGTATGTGTGTATGTGTGTTTGTGTGAAGAAAAGCGAGAGACGATGAAAGAAGAGAGATGAAAGAAGCATTAGAAAGAAAAAAATTGTGGTGGGTAAAACTTCCTGCGCATGCGCCATCATAGAAGATGAAATCACTCGTGATTTCATCAGGCGCCGTAGCACCTCTCATTTTTTT